TCATATGGTTTAACCTAACACATTGCTTTGGACCTTCAGTGCTGTGTTAAATAGAAACAATGATAGAAGTTTTTCTTGTCTAAGTCCTGACTTTGATGGAAATTGCTTCTAAAGTTTTACCATTAAGTATGATTATGACTATAGGTTAAGGAAGCTAGTTTGCCAATAGTCTGCATTGAATGAGCATTCTATTTATTACGGTTGTGTGTCACATTAGTGAATTATCTGATGTTGACTCACCCTTATGTTGTTGGAATAAAACCTACTTTGTCATGTTGCATTTTTTGATGTGTGTACAGTGCTATATTGGACTTGGTATTATTTTATTTAAAATTTTGGAATCTATGTTCATAATAACTAATAATAGCTAACATATGGGTTTTCTATTTTCTGGGTCCCCTTAAGGCCCTTTCCATGAACTAATTCATTTTACCTAACAGGCTTATTTTGAAAGTTATTTCCCCCCTTTATATATGAGGGAATTAAGGCACAGAGAAGTCAAGTCATTTCCTTAAGGTCACAGAGAGAACAAATATTGGCACCTGCACATAAATCAGAATTACCTGGCTCAAGAGGCCATGCACTGACCGCTACTCCATGCTATCTCCCTACGACAAAGACCCATTATTCAGATTGGTGCATAACACACTTTTTCACATGTCCTTGTTCCAGTTTGATAATAAGATTATATTAATACTATCCTTAATAAATAATTGAATAGATTTTTCTCTTTCTCTTTTATTTTAAAACGTATTTCTTAAAATTCTATAAAAACTTATGTCATCTGGAGTGAATTCACTGATTATTTTATTGGCTTTCTTAGCTCTTAGCCCTGTTGCTTCATATGTTTTCATATCTTGTTTTGTGAGCTCTTTTTTTGGAAACAGGATCTCATTTTGTTGCCCTGGCTAGAGTGCAGTGGCATCATCATAGCTCACCATAACCTTGAACTCCTGGACTCAAGAGATCCTCCCTCTTCAGCTTCCCAAAGTTCTGGGATTACAGCGGTGAGCCACCATGCCAGGATGTCAAATATCCCTTTATCTGGGTTTGTCTGATGTATCCTCATGACTAGGCTCAAGTCATATATCTTTGGCAGGAATATAACAGAAGGGATTCTGTGTTCTTATTGTATCCTATCACGTGGTACAAAATTTTGATTTGCCCCAATTCTGGTGATGTTAATTGTGACCACTTAATTAGGGTGGTAGTTTAGTTTCCTATTCCTGTTATGGCAAATGATCACAAACATAGTGTCTTAAAACAACTTAAACAATTTTTTCTTTTACAGTCTGAAATTCAAAATCTAAAATCAGTCTTAGGGGACTAAAATCAAAGCATCGGCAGGGCTTTTTCCTTTGGAGGTTTCAGGAGAAGATTCATTCTTTGTCTCCTCCGGCTCCTAGAGGCCGCCTTGGCGTTCTTGTTTCACTCCAGTCTCTGCTTCCGTCTTCACGTCTCATGCTTCTCCCACTCTGATCTCTTCTTGCCTCCCTCTCCCTCCGATAAGTACCCCTGTGACCACACGGAGCCCACCCAGATAATCCAGGATAACCTCCCCCACCCTAAAGTCCTTAGATCCTTAACATAATCACACCTACAAAATCCCTTTTGCTATGTAAAGTAACATTCCCAGGGGCTGGGATTAGGACATGGATATCTTTGGGGGCCATTATTCAATTCACCACAGGTTGTATCTACCACCAGCCTCCTCCTCTGTAAAGTTAACCCTTTCCCCCTTATAATTAACAAGTATTTCACGGGGAGAGACTTCAAAACTATGTAAGCATCCCATTTCTCATAAAACACAATTATTTATTTACTTCAGTATAGGCTTGTAGTTTCTTATTTTATTCAGTGAGTTATAATTCATGACTATCCTTATTTTCATCCTCAAATTGTCCCAGGTTTAGTCAGTATAGTCCCTTTAGGGTAGCTTCTGTGCCCTTTTGACATCTCCCATCATTCTCCGAGCACTTCCCTTACTTTCTGGCACAAGTGTAATCTATTTTATTTTTATTTACTTTTGAGACAGAGTCTCGAACTGTCACCTAGGCTAGAGTGCCGTGGCATCAGCTTAGTTCACAGCAACCTCAAACTCCTGGGCTCAAGCCATCCTTCTGCCTCAGCCTCCCAAGAAGCTGGGACTACAGGCATGCGCCACCATGCCCGGCTAATTTTTCTAATTTTAGTAGAGATGGGACTTGCTCTTGCTCAGGCTGGTCTTGAACTCCTAGCCTCGAGGGATCCTCCCCGCCTGGGCCTCCCAGAGTGCTAGGATTACAGGTGGCTCTTGTAGATTATTTTGAATGGATGTCATATTCTCTCCCTCCCTCTTTCTCTTCCTACCCTCTCACCTTGGCTTACCTAGCTCCTACAACTTTATAGTTGCCTTGCCTCCAGGTTTTATGGCCTGTTCAAGCCCCATCCTGTGGCACACTGGAGACAATACTCACCCTGTCCAGCCTACAGACCTAGGTCAGCAGCAGCCCCTCCTAGCATCTTCTCGAGGATTGGGGTGTGCCCAAGCTGCTAGCTTCCAGCCAAGTCGTCTGTGCCAAAGGACCTGCCACTGCCTTTGGCTTCCAAAGCCCAGCGGGCACCAGGCTTTGGATTTCTTTTCTGGTTTTGGTTCACAGAGATGAAGATCTTATTTTTCAGCCTGATTATGTCTTTTTTATTCACTTTCTATGTCTCGCCTATTATTGTTGCTGTTTGGAGAGGGGAGCATGCAGTCAAACCCAATTTCTCCAAACCATCCTAAAGGGAAGTCTGCTCCATTTCAACAGCGTTTTTGGTTTTTTTTTTAAAGACCATATGTCAACATGTTAGATTGCAGCAACAAGCTGTTGGAGGAAGCCATGGGAGAGCAAGACTGAGAGTCCTGGGGAGAGGGTGGCAAAGTTGCCCTTTTTTAGGGGATCACTCCCCCGACCCTGTCCTTCCCACCTGATTGCTCCAGTTGTTAGATTTGCCTTCTTGGGCCCATACACGGGAGGAGTGGGGCTGGAATGACAGGGAGAGGCAGTGTGCGGGCTCCGAGAAGCTGCCACAGGCCTTTTTGGATCCCAATTTCCGCAACAGTTCCCGCCAGGTCCAGATGGGGGATGCTCTGGTGCTGACGCAGTGCTGCGAAATCTCCCAGCCCCCAAGGCGATGGCACTGACTCCCACCCTGGGCGAGACAGCCTAGCTGGGGGAGGGGTGTGCCCTCTCCAGTCAGCTGGTCAGCCCAGGTTAGCAGGCCCAAGGCAGAAGACACAGCCAGCCCACTCTGGCCCACCCTCTCCCTTTAACTCTGCTCCCTTCTTCAGTCCCAGGCCTGCTGAGGGGAGCCTGAGCTATGTCACCCTCCCAAATTCCACATTTTTCCTAAGTGCCCTCCTGGCAATGTCTGCAGATAGCAGTGCCCCCGCGGGCTGGCTCCCCCCAGGGGTGTTTTTTCTGTCAGCAAAAGCCAAGGCTATGAACTTGAGATCGTTCATTCCCCTAAAGCACCCCAGTCCTGAGCTCGAGGTGACAGCGGGCAAGGCCCGGGTCTCCCCGCGGGAGCACGTCCACGTCCCCGAGCAGCACAGCAGCGCCTGCCGCCCTCGCGACTGGGCCTCCCCAGCTGTGCCGAGGGTGCCGGCGCCGTCCGCCCACCTCCCTTCGAGGACCGGGAGGCCGGAGCAGGCCCGCCAGCGCCCGCCCGCGGCGGCCGCGCGTCTGGGTCCCTGCCGGCTGGGCGGGGTCGGGCCGCCCGCGGGTCCTAGCGCCGGGCAGGGCGCGGCGGACGGCGCCGGACGGCGCCCACTCGCGCTCGCGGCCCGGCGCCAAATGGGGGGCGGCGGCTCTGGTCCTGGCCTCCCTGGTCGCCCTTTGCGGGCGCGGTGAGTCCTGTGCGGGCGGGGCGCCGGCTGGGCGGCGGGCGGGCCACAGGTGGACGGAGGGAGGGCGGGAGGCCCGGCCGGCGGGCGGGGCCGACGCTCGCGGGCGCCGGCGCCGCGGTGGACCGTCAGGGCCGGCCGGCGGGCCGCAGCCTGCGGTCCGCAGCGCGAGGAGGGCCAGGCCGAGCCGTTCGCCGCGGCCGGCGCCTCCTCGCCGAGCGGCGGACGCCCGGGACGGGCGAGCGCGGAGCAGCCCGCGGGCCGGCGGCCTGGGCCCGAGCCGTCTGCGCCCGCCTGGAGAAGCCTCGCGGCGCCCCGCCGCCCAGCCCTGACGGCCGGCCGGGCTGCCGAGGCGGAGCCTGCCGCTCGGAACCGCAGCCTCCCGCACCTAGAAGGCAGACTCCATCGCCCTTCTCCGGGCAGAGTTCTGAGGATTGCCTTCTCTGCCTCGGTTTCCCCCCTGGGTTCCAAGGGCTCTTTCAGCTCCTACTGCGGCCCTGGCTTTTCTTCTGAGGCCCGGTTGTGCTGAAGGGCCACGGGTGCTTCTTCCGTGGACAGAGACCCACCTCCGAGGGCGCGGGACGCAGGAGTGGAGGATAGAAGAGGTTTTTTTAGGGAAGTAGAGCTCTCATCAAAGCTGGTGTCCACACACAGTGTGTGTATCGTGGCTCTGCTACTACTTGCTGGGTGACCCTACGCCATTCCTTCCCCCTCTCTGGGCCTCAGTTTCCCCATCTGGTCTATGGAGATGGTATGCCTTGCCTCCGCACTTGGGGACTCAGATGTGCATACGGGCCACTCGCAGTGTTTCTTAGCTGCGGGCCTGGGGCAGCCTGCACCACTCGTTATGGATCCCTGGGCCGCACCCGAGGCTCATGGAACCAACGTCTGGAAACCGAGCCCGGGGATCCGCGTTTATACAAGCATCCAGATGATTCATGCACATGCTTGGAGAAGCGCTAATGGTTTATTGTGAGCTCTTTGTAAAAGACAAAATCTCAACTTTTCTTTAAATCCATAGCTTCCTTTTAACACAAATCTTGTGTTCACTTCCTCAGTTAAGGACACACATCCCCAATTGAAAATCACTCTGCCCTTCCGGATGCCCACTTGCCAGTGAGATTCTGTGGACCGTCACTTTCTGTAGTTTGTATTCCAAAGCAGTAGGTATATCTTCAACATAGATTTTTAGATTATATATGCTTTTTTCAAATTAGACACACACTGACACCGTTTAGAATTCTGGCTATGGCTTCCTCTCAGATGGTTCGCCTCCTCCGCAGGAGAGCAATTTTTCCAGGGAAGGCTTCGGAAGGCAAGACCTTGGACAGAGGCTGGTGGGCCCACTCCCCTCGGAATCATTGGATGGTGACTGACCCCTAGTGGCAGCCTCTGCTTGACTCTCTCGGCCTGCAGGCTGGGATGTGGCCCCCAATTGTGTCCCAGCAGCTTCCACCCATTCTGAGCCACCCCTGTCAGCTGGGGGTGAAAGGCCTGTCCCTGTCTTTTGAGCCCACAGGCCTCACTGGCATTAAGCGGCAGATTGGGAAGCCTAAACACCCAGCCACAGCACCTCTGCTGCTCATTCTCACCCCCTGGCCTGCCAGCCACACACTCACAAGCACTAACACGGCAGGGTGCAGTCACCGGCACACCCACTCCAGACAGCGCCAGTCACGGCCTCTGCAGGGCAGTCTCCTCATGGGAAAGTTAACCAGGCACTGAAGAAGGCACAGAGGTCAGGGGAGGGCCTCTGCCTGAAAGAGACTCTTAGACTTGGCTCTCCTTCTGACTTGCTGGGGGTCCTTGAGAAAGTTCCTTCCCCTTTGGTCTCAGTTGTTTCCCCAGCTGAGAAATGAGGGTTGGGACAAATGATCTAAGGACCTGGGAACCTCTAACTCTAACTCCCACACCTGGTCCTCTAACTCCCACACCTGGTCCTCAACATGGGGAGAGTCCCTCAGAGTCATCTGAATGCCCGAGAGGCAGGACAGGCCCAAAGGTGAGCAGACTGAACACATCCGGTGGGCTCAGAGCTGGAACCTGAGCCCCCACAGCCTACAGAGCAGCCTGGACTCTCAGGAACCCAGCTGGGCCAGCCTCCTGGGACTTCAGAGATGTGGGATGAAGCCTCCCCCGTATTGCAGGGTTGGGGGCTGGGAGCTGCAGATTATGGTCCCAGAGCTGCCTCAGCCGTGCCAGATTGTCTTGGGAAAGACATACCTCTCTATGAAATGAGGGGCCAGTCCCAATAGATATACTAAAGAAGGGCTGTGGGAAGGACTCAGCTGTAGCCTGGGGCTATGGACTAGCTTCCAGGGTATGCAAGCAGCTGACCTCTGAGAGAAGGGTCCAGGGCATGGGATGCAGGGCTCACAATCTAGGCCAAGCATCCATAGGACCCCGCTCTGAAGAGCCTGGGGCAGTCTGGGAGGGACAGGAGGCAGCAGGTGCACTAGGAACATCTTACACAAGGCACTAAATATTGCATCTGCTCCAGATAGGCAGCGAGTTGGAAAGTGCATGGCATAGGCAGGGTGGCGGCTGCTCCCCATGGCCATGTGTCCAGCCCAGCACCCACCCAAGAGTCTGCCTCAGACTTGCTCAATGGGGCATCCCTGCTCCAGGCCCTCTGGCCCCACCCAAAGAGGGAGGGCTTTAGTGAGACTCAGTGAACTGGCTCTTGGGGGAAGATGCAATCTGACTCCTGAGCCTGGCGAGCCCCTGCCACTGTCCCCACCCCCATCTCTCCATCCTCTCTTATTTCCCGATCCTCCCACCTGCTATCCTGCCCCACTTGTGTTTCCTCTGCCTACTCTCATCGCCTTTCCTGCTCTGGAACTCCCCTGCTCGGGGCCCCTGCCTCTCCTCTGAGTCACCGCTGCACCTATACCTGACATGTTCTCCCTGAAGACAGCAGAGTACAGGAGTTCAAGTCCCTAAACCGTACCTTCACTCCCAGACACGTGAGAGGATGAGACAAAGGCCCAAATCCCACTTGGCAGAGATCTGGGATGTGAAGAGGGGCAGATCTTGGGTTGTGTGAGCCCAGGGGGGCTTCCCTGCAGGCCACTGCATTTAAGCCGGTCTCTAATGTGGCTCAGAGCTAGACCTCCCCTATAGCTCCAGACCAGGAACCAACTGCCAGCTGGACCTGCTCTTTGGTGTCTCAGAGGGCCCTTGTGGTCTGTAGGTCTAAGTCTGAACCCAGAAAATCCCCGTCTCAGTTGTGTTTTCCTCTTATGGAAAGCACCACCTCATATCTGGTTCTGCGCATAACACAAGTCTGTGGGGTAGTGCTCCTCCCCTGCACTGTGAGTTCGCTGGTGGCAAGACCTGTCTCTGGTTTTTTGCTTGCCATTATCCCAAGCACATAGCACAGTGCCTGGCACAAAATAGACACTCAGATATTTGATGGCTGGAAGGCTGGGTGCAGTCCTGGCAGAAGAAAGAGGTGTTCAAAGACCAAGAAGTAAGATAGTGAAGACCACGTGGGGAAAGGCAAGCAGTGGGACTTGGCTGGGATGTAGAGTGCCTGCGGCCGAGACCGAGTGGTGGGAGAAAATCAGATTGAAAAACATGAGTCAGTGCCTAGGCAAGGGCCTTGAATGCCAAGCCAAAACATTTGTTGTGGGCAGGGAAGGGCCCAGCCCAGTCTGCTGTAGAAAGACCACTGTGGCGCTGCATGGAACATGGACAGCAGGGTGGGAGGGCTGGGAGGCCAACGAGGGAGCTGCTGGACTGGCCTGGGGCTGTGGCCTGGGCTGTGCTGTCGCAGTGGAGATGAGAGGGCAGACCGAGGGACTTGGAAAGTAGAATAGACAGCGCTGGATGGCCGCTTGGATGAACCAAGGGAGGGGTCGGGAACAGCTGCCTAATTTCTAGATGTCTAGAGTGTGGGGTGCCCTTCCTTGCCAGAGCGAACAGGAGGAAGAAGTGTGGCGCTGGGGGCAGAGCTGAGCTCTGTCTTGAAGGTGTTTAATTTGAAGTCCCCAGGGAGAGGCAGGCTTGCCAGCGCCTGGGGCACCTGTGCTCCCTGGCCTGCTCAGCTCTCTCCTTCGCTGCCCCGGCCGCAGTGGGGTTCAGCAGGGAGAGGGCCCAGCAGGTCTGACTGTGCGTTTTCCCAGGGGACTGCCGTGTGGCCAATGCCGAGGAGAAGCTGATGGACGACCTTCTGAACAAAACCCGCTACAACAGCCTGATCCGCCCTGCCACCAGTTCCTCGCAGCTCATCTCCATCCAGCTGCAGCTTTCCCTGGCCCAGCTCATCAGCGTGGTAAGTGCAGAAGGCAGCCGCTGGGAGCGCAGGAGGAGGCCCGGCTGGGTCTTCAGTGCCCTGCCAGGGCTTGGGGAAAGGGGCGGCCCCTTTGGTGTGCAGGGCTAGGAGTCAGGAAGCTTGAGTTTTACTTCTGGCATTGCCCAGGTTTCTGGGCAAGGTCTTAGATTGTTCATCTGATCTTTTTTCATATTCATAAATTAAGAAATTTGCCTAAACTTGGAGGGTCCTGACCCTGCCTCTAAGTTATGATTCTTTCATTCCAAAAATGCTATCTGTGCCTTTGCACATGCCGTGCTCCTTGCCTGGGGTGTCCTACCCACTTTGTGCACCCTAGCTCCACAGTTTGGAGCCACCTGCAAATCTGTGATCTCAGTATCAATTAACATGCCTGGCTTCAAGTAATAGAACATCCAGCTAAGAGGTGCTAAAACATTGAGGACATGTATTAATATTGCATTATATGACAGGCAAGCAGGCCAGTGATTTCAGAGTTGGTTAATTCAGTAATTCCATGATGTCAAGACTCTTGGTTGTTGTCAGAGATATCAACACTCCTCAATCCTCTTGTTTTTTCCTTGCAGTCACAAGATGGTGGCCATAGCTCTAAACATAAAATCCTTACATGACAATGTCCGTGGCAGGAAATTGCAGATCCTTTTTAGGATCCTTTTTGAGTATGAGGAAAAATTCCACAGAGACTGCCCCCTAGGCAGCCCTTTATACCTCACCCCTTATACAGTCACTGGCTGGAGGAGCAAAATGACGGCACTTGGCTAGACTTACCACCACATGGCAAGAAGGCGAAGGGGGGGCGCCTTACAAAGCTCATGGGCATCCAATATTCAATGAAGCCAGGGTTTTGCTAACACAGAAGAAAGGAGGGTGGGAGCAGGATGCCCACAGGGCAGGCAGCCAGTGGGCCTGCACAGACCCTGCTCCGCCTGGTCTCCAACAGGACGCTACGCTTCTCCTCCGCGTCCACACAGCCCTGCCACAGTGCCGCCCCCAGTCTGCCCAGCAGATGGCCTCGCACGCCCTCTACTTATTGGGGAAAATAAGAACCAGGTGGGGGAAATTGACAGGCACAGAGGTCCAGGGGCAGGGCAGGACCAGAGGCAGGGGCAAGGGTCTGGACAGGTGAGGAGGGATGCTGCAGGACGGTAAGGGAGGAGTGGATGGTGGCACTCACGTGTCTGGGGGCAGGGGTGGGTGGTGCTGGGGAGGACTGAGGTGCCGGGGAATTTCCCTTCTCTCCTCTGAGGTCTGTGAGTTGGGGGTGTTTGAGGGAATCATGTCCCACTGTAAACCTTCCCATGTCCCTACCCGCAGGGTCACCCTGTGCCTAGAAGCAGCTCTGAGGGCAGGTTCAGAGGGGAGAGTGCAGAGCACTGTGTCCAGCCCTGGGGAAGGAGGTAGCTGGGGCTGAACTTCCTCTGGTCAGGTGACTGCCTTCTTAATCCCCAGCCTCTCTCTCCAGCACAACTGGCCACACAAAACCAGCTCCTCAAATCATAGTCCTCAATGAGGCTTTGGCCAAATGAACAGCTGGCTCCCTCCCCGGGAGGAAACACAGCCCAGGGATGTAGCGCTCTGTCCCTCCGCGGGACTGCAAGGAGCAGGGCTTTCAGACAGGTCTCAGCCAGGCTGGCGTCTGAGATTATTGTCCAGCCAAGGGTGTCTTGCTTAACGGGCAAGCCCAGCTGCTGCCCCGTGCAGCCGCCACCTGGTGCGCGTCAGTGGCAGGCCGCTCTGCTAGGGGTGCCCCATGGGTGACAGAGGTGGGAGAGGACATAGCCACCAGCCCCCACCCTGCAAGTACCACTGGGAGCTGTCAGATTCCTGAAAGCTTGTGCAGAATAAATATCAGGTTTTGGTGGGGAGTGTTCCTTCTGTTTTTCAAGGTTTACCTGTTTCTTGAGGAGGGAGGTTACAGGCACAACCAGTTTAAAGAGAGACATTTCTAGACAAACCACAGAAAGAAAAAAGGATGAAAACTACAGAAAAGAAGATAATATGGTATATGATTTTTTTAAAAAAAGGTCTAATATGTATATTTGGAATACCAAAAGGAAGATAAAGAATAAGACAGAAGCAATATTTGAAGTGATATTGGCTGAGAACTTCCAAAACTGACCAAAGATATTTATTAAGCAACAGATTCAAGAGGCTCCATGGGTGACAATACAAAGAAAAGCACACTCGAGAACATCACACTCAAACTCCTGACCACCAAAGACAAAGAAACAACCTTAAGACTATCCAGAAAAAGAAGGAAAAACAAAAATAAAACCCCAAGAACAGTAAGACTAACAGCTGAAAATAGAAGCCAGAAAATAGAATGACTTTTTTTTTCTTTTTTGGGTTTTTTTGAGACAGAGTCTAGCTCACAGCAACCTCAAACTCCGGGCTCAAGCAATCCTCCTGCCTCAGCCTCCCAAGTAACTGGAACTACAGTCATGCACCACCATGCCTGGCTAATTTTTTCTATATATATATTTTTTTAGTCATCCAGCTAATTTCTTTCTATTTTTAGTAGAGACAGGGTCTCACTCTTGCTAAGGCTGGTCTTGAACTCCTGACCTTGAGCGATCCTCCTCCCTCGGCCTCCCAGAGTGCTAGGATTACAGGCGTGAGCCACTGCGCCAGCCCTAGAAAGACATTTTTTAAAGTACTACAGAAAAAAAACTGCAAACCTAGAATTAGACAAGGATTTTGAAGCTATCTTTTGCAAATGAAGGAGAAATATTTTTTTCAGACCAAAAAATAAAAAAGAGAGAGAGAGAAATTAATGCCAGGAGATCCAAATACTAAAGGAAATACTAAAGGAGGTTTTTTACCATAAGGAAAATGATCCCAGAGGGAAACACAGACATGTGAGAAAGAACGAGGTACAACAGAAACGGTGACTATATGGATGGATTTTAAGTTTATTAATACTATAAAACAATAAAAATATCTTGCAAAGATTCGACGATATGTATAACTAAACACATGACAATAGTAGTGCAAAAGTCAGGAGGGCGTAGATGGAGTTGAAACGTTCTAAAGTCCTTGTCTTGCTTTAGGAGTGGTGAAAGTAATAAGTTATATTTGACTCTAAAAAGTCAAGTATGTATATTGTAGCCCTAAGGGTAACTACTAAAAGAAAAGTCATGTTAATATGGGGAGGAATGGAATAATAGTTAATCCAAAACAAATCAAGGAAAGAGAGATAAGGGAACAAACAAAATAGATAAATGGTAGGTTTAAACCCAGATATATTAGCAACTACATGAAATGTAAATGGCTTAAATAATCACAATGAGACGACTGGCATATATCCTTCTCCCTCCAGTTACCCTTCCCCCAACATCCTGGAACACGGATGTTATGATTGGAGTTCCAGCAGTCATCTTGGACCATGCAGATGAGGTCCACATTCTAGGTGTGGTAGAGAACAAAGCTGGAATGAACCTGGGGACCTAAGAACTTTGCAGAGCAGAACCACCATATATATCCGAACTGCTACATGAGGGGGACGTAGACGTCTCCTTTGTTGAAGCCAAGCCTGGTTTACTCGGGCTCTCTAATACTAGCAGCCCAACCTCATCCTACTGATATATTCCCCAGTTGAGAGTTCAGGAAAGGTTCCTTGAGGAAGTGAGTCCCAAGGTGACATTAGGATGCTAGAAGTTATCAAGATGAAGAGGGGGCAGGAAATATAGCACAGAGTGAAAGCATGAGACACATTCAAAGAGCTAAAGAAGGCCAAGGGGGCTGGAGCACAGAATAAAGGGGCACAGGGAGGTGAAAGGAGACTGGGAAAGTTGACGAGGACCTGTAGACCCTGTGAAGGAGTTTTTATTCTGCATGTGAAGGAAGTCAAGAAGGGACCTAAACAGGGATAAGATTAAGTTGGGAAATGGCAGGAACTTTGGGAAGATCGTTCTGGCTGCATAGGAAGGATAGATGTGTGCGTGTGTGGTGCAGAATGGACATACATCAGCGTGGAGGGCCTTTCAGGGTCCAGGTAGAGATGGACAATTGTAGCCTGGATTACTGTGGTAGGATTCATGTATTCATTCAGAAAATATTTACTGAGTACCTGATACCTTTTCTCAAGGTCCTTAGATCCTAGTGGGAAGTGGTAGACAATACACAAATAGATAAATTGTGTCCAGGGGTGATAAGTGCTATGAAGAAAAATAAAGCAAGGTGTTTTCTATAGGAAGGTTGGAGAAGACTTCTCTGATAAAGTGACATTTTTGACACCTGAGGAAAGGGAGGAAGCCATCTGGGTGGATTTCTAGGGTGAAGGGAACAAGGTGTGCGAAGGCAGAAGCAAACACATGGCGGAATGGGAGTGAGCAAGGGGCAAAGTATTAAGGTATGAGGTAATGGAGCTCATCGGGGTGGGGGCATGGTAGGGGCAGATCGTTAGGGCCTTATAGACCCTGAGCAAGACTTTGGCTTTTACTTTGGATAAGACGGGGAAGCAGTGGAGGGTTTGAGCAGAGTGATATAGTCTAAGGGCTTGAGATTGTACAAGGATTCCCCTGTCTGTTTTGCAGAGAACAGACTAAAGGCAGGCCAGGGCAGAGCAGGAAGACCAGTCAGGGGGCTACTGCAGTGGTCCAGGTGACAGGTGATGGTGGCATCAGAGGTGGAAGAAGGGAGATTTGAGATGCATGTAGGAGACACAGCCTGCAGGACTTACTGACAGGTCTGAGAGCAGAGTGTGAGATCAACTCCCAGGTCTCTGGCTTGTGCAACCCGATGGCTAGGGCTGCTATGCACTGAGACAGCAATGCCAAAGGAGGGCCAGTGGGGGGTCATGAGCTTTGTCTTGGACACGCTGGGGGTGAAATACCTGGTGAGCCATCCAAGAGATGTTGAGTGGCAGTCAATCACATGGGCCTGGAGCTCAGAGCCTTTGGCATGATAAAGCATGATCCATTTGTGAGGGCTCCTCTTTCCCTGTGAACTGACAGCTCTGTTTTCCTCCCCAGAATGAGCGGGAGCAGATTATGACCACCAACGTCTGGCTGAAACAGGTAAGTGCCCTGCAGGGTCCCCAGCCCAGGAGATGCTTCCTCCAGAGCTGCCCGTCGATAGTGATGGACCTACAAGTGACAGGGCCCTGCCTGTCTGTTCAGGAATGGACTGACTACCGCCTGGCCTGGAACAGCTCTCGCTACGAGGGCGTGAACATCCTGCGGATCCCCGCAAGGCGCATCTGGCTGCCTGACATCGTGCTTTACAACAAGTGAGTGGCAGGGTTGGCCGGGCAGCAGGCCCAACCCCTGGTCATCCGGCCTGAGTCCAACCCGGGCCATCTGTGCTCCACTGGGACCTCAAGCTGAAGGGCACAGAGCTGAGCAGACCAGTGCCCTTAGTCACAGATGGGGTGTCGCTGTGACCCAGTGCTTTCTGTCCTCCACACTGTCTTTTTGAGCCTCGGCTGCTTCGTCGGTGCTGGCTGCTGGCCACACTGACTGACTGTGCGTAGGTGTCTTAGGTAGGTGGAAGGAGCTAAAGAGACTCTTCCTGGGTCATAGTTACACCAGCAGTAGCACATAGACCTGAGTTCAAATCTCAGCTGTACCACTTACTAGTTTTCTGGCCTTGAAGAAGTTACTTTAACTCCTCTGGGCCTTGGCTTTCCTGCCTATAAAATGGGGATAATAATAAAATCTACCTTGCTGGACTATTGTGAGGCTTACAGGGCTATTCACGTGAAGCCTTCAGAGTGCTTCATGGTAGGGATCTCTCTACCACACCGTTGCTGAGAAAAGCAGGTCCGTTTCCGTGAGGGCCTGGGGGTGGGAAGGGCGATCAATGGGAAGTAACCCTAAGGTAGTGGGTTCTGAGGCCAGGCCGGGCCTTGTCTGCGGTTTCATGGCTTTCTCCATGCACCCTGCCCCCAGCGCCGACGGGACCTACGAGGTGTCCGTCTACACCAACGTGGTGGTGCGCTCCAACGGCAGCGTGCAGTGGCTGCCCCCTGCCATCTACAAGAGTGCCTGCAAGATCGAGGTGAAGCACTTTCCCTTCGACCAGCAGAACTGCACCCTCAAGTTCCGCTCCTGGACCTACGACCACACGGAGATTGACATGGTCCTTATGTCACCCACGGCCAGCATGGATGACTTCACTCCTAGTGGTGAATGGGATATCATGGCCCTCCCTGGGAGAAGGACGGTGAACCCACAGGACCCCAGCTACGTGGACGTGACGTACGACTTCATCATCAAGCGCAAGCCGCTCTTCTACACCATCAACCTCATCGCCCCCTGCGTGCTCATCACCTCGCTGGCCATCCTTGTGTTCTACCTGCCGTCCGACTGCGGTGAGAAGATGACGCTGTGCATCTCCGTGCTGCTGGCGCTCACGGTCTTCCTGCTGCTCATCTCCAAGATCGTGCCACCCACCTCCCTCGACGTGCCGCTCATCGGCAAGTACCTCATGTTCACCATGGTGCTGGTCACCTTCTCCATCGTCACCAGCGTCTGCGTGCTCAACGTGCACCACCGCTCGCCCAGCACCCACACCATGGCGCCCTGGGTCAAGCGCTGCTTCCTACACAAGCTGCCCTCCTTCCTCTACATGAAGCGCCCGGGCCCCGCCAGCAGCCCGGCCAGGGCCCCCCAGCCCGGCCAGTCACGCCTGTTGAAGACTGAGGCCACCACCTCTGCTGCCTCTGCCGTGGGCCCTGCCAGCCCCTCCAGCCCGTGTGGGCACTCCATGTACTGTGTGAGCTCTGGCTCTGCCGCTCCCAAGTCTCCCGCCCGCCCGGACTCCGGGGCTCTCCGGCTCAGGTCCTCGGGAAGGTTCCGGCAGGATGTGCAGGAGGCCTTAGAGGGCGTCAGCTTCATCGCGCAGCACATGAAGAGTGACGATCAAGACCAGAGTGTGAGTTGCTAGCGCAGGCCCTGCCCACCTCCCGACAGAAAGGCTCAGAGAGTTAGCACCAGTCTCCCACTTCCTGAGTAAATTCATACGAAACGAGGACTCTCAAACTCTGATTGAATAGGGAATCTAAAACTGAAATGAGTTTTATGCTCAGGCGGAGGGGAAAAAGGTGGGGAGGGAGGAAAGCCAGAGGAGGGTGGAATAAGCAGGATACTGCTGTGGGACCCCAGGCTCAGCCATCTTGCAGAGCCCCTGTGGGTTGAGGGTGGCCCCAGGACATTAACTCCCCTGCCCTTGCGGTTATGCCAGCCTGCCAGAGCAAGCAGCTTGACGCTGGAGAAAGCCCTGGAGCAGAGAAGAGGAAAGGGGAGGCTGTCAGTGGGCTGGGAGATGACTCTGCAGCCTTTGGGGAACTCTGGTGGGCTGAGGCATGGAGGGATGGGGTGCACCTGCCCCCATCCTCTTCAGACTTGCAAGATGCTTACAGGAGTAGAAATAACACTTCTAAAGACAACTTTATGACAACTGAACACAGAATGTGACAATGACTGAAATTTGCATGTACATTTCTGTGCCAGGCAGGAGAACAAGTTTCATACTCTTGTGAATGTTCTCATTTCCACACCTTATCAGGTCAGATTCTTTGAACAGGTTTTTACCACATAACATAGTGTCTCCCCCTTTGCAGCTGCTTGGAAAAAAGAGGACATCTCCTTGTTCTTATATTTCTGAGATACCTTTTCACTAGCTGCATTCCCAAGGGAAGCACTGGCATTCCATTAGAGAAAAGAACAGGCTGAAAAGCTCCAAAATCACACTGTGCAAATGTATTATTGCTAACAAATGGAATATAGGATGCAAGATAGTCTTCTGAGTGTAGTCCTCAGACCAGCAGCAATGGCATCACCCAGGAGCTGTTGAAATGCAGACTCTCAGGCCCCCCAGACCTGCTGACTCAGAATCTGCATGTTAAGCAGGTCCCCAGGGGGTTCCTAGGAGCATTCCAGTTTGAGAAGCACAACTGTACAGGACTCAGATTTCACTTCCTGAAAAAATAATTTGATCATGCTGTTTTTTAGTTTAAAACCATTCAGTAGCTCGGCATCACCTAATTCATTGGCCCCTAAACATTCATTGGCTCCTTTCCTCAAGCTGTCTTGGGGGAAGGAGCCAGGCAGACCCACTGTTAGTATAATCCCCAGCCATTCTTTTTTTTTTTTTTTTTTTGAGACAGAGTCTCACTTTGTTGCCCAGGCTAGAGTGAGTGCCGTGGCGTCAGCCTGGCTCACAGCAACCTC